AGTTAGCATGATATCGTCCACATATACAATTAAAAAAAATTTCTTTCCATTTTTCTACTTGTAGAACATAAAGCAATTTGATTGTTCCTTGCAGTAACCTTCATTTTTTATCACCTTTGAAAACCTATCAAACCATGCTCTAGGAGACTGCTTAAGTCCATACGAGGAATTTTTCAATATGCATACTTTGTTTTCTTGTCCCTTTTTAGAGAAACCTGGAGGTGGTGTTATGAAAACCTCATCTTCTAGCTTGTCATTCAAGAAAGCATTATTTATGTCGAGTTGTTGAAGTGGCCAATCTAATCTAAGTTGGCAGCCAAGAACAAAAGGATTCGAACTATGTTCAACTTAGCCACGGGTGCAAAGGTTTCTGTGTAGTCAATGTCGTAGGTTTGAGTAAATCCCTTCACAACAAGATGAACCTTGTACCTCTCCACCGTCCCATCAACTTTGAACTGTACAAAAAACATCAATTTGCAAACCACCGTTCTCTTCCCATGTGGCAAATTCATCACCTCCCAAGTTCAGTTTTTTTTTTCAACGCCCTCATTTCCTCCATCACAACTTCTCTCCGCGATATTCTTAGGAATTTTCACACTATCAAGGTTAGAAGTAAAAGCACGATATTCTATGGACAAGGCATTGTAGGATACAAATTTTGAAATAGGATGGAAAGTACATGAACGATGTTGTTTTTAGAGTACAATAGGTAGATCAATATCATCAGGTTTATGAGTATTAAATAGAGGTTCTATTACATGATCTAGACTAAGGAAGGACTCTTGGTTGTGCGGAGCTGTCACCTGTTAAGACTCAATCGGTTCCTCAGTGTGAGATTTTCATCCGGCCTTAATTTTGGCTTTCGGAGCAAACCAACAACTATTTGTTCTGTTGTTTTTCTACACCTTCCTTTGAGTGTAAGCTTCCTTTGTAACTGGCAAAGGGGTGGAGGAGAATGAAGGACCAATAGAATAATTGTTTGGGACATGATCGATTTTAAGAAAAAATCTAAGAAATGAGAATCACCAGCCAAGCAATACAAGGTTCGAGATCCACTCAAATGCTCCCCCTGAATTGAAGACTTGACGTAGAAAGGACTGGTTTCAAGGAATGTGACATTTACAAAGGTGAGATGTGAAACGGGATCATAGCACTTGTAATCTTTTTGAGTAGGTAGATAACCAAGGAAAACATATTTTGTAACTCGATGTTCTAGTCTAGTTTGTTGGTTTGTATAAACATGTACAACTATTGTACAACCAAAGATTTTGAGGGGAAGAGTGGAACTAAGCCGAGAGTGAGGAAAGACATCTTGAAATTTTGAAGAGAGGCGACAAAGGAAAGGATTCGACTAGGCATTCTGTTTATAAGATATGTTACAGTCAAGATAGCATCGTCCCAAAAAATTTGGCATGTTGGTAGTGAACATTAGGGCAAGAGCTAATCAAAGATGTGTCTTCTTTTTCGTTCAGCGTTCTCATTTTGTTGAGGGGTGTCACACATGAACTCTGGTGAATAATGCCATGTTTATGAAGATAGAGACTCAAATACTTATTGAAATATTCAATATCATTGTCGGCACGTAAAATTTGTAGTGTTGAATTGTGTTTGGATCATGGAATGGTCTTCGATCTAGTCTTTCTACAAATAGATCCAACAAAGTCGTATATGGTCATCTATAAAAGTGTTTAACCATTTTGTGTGTGTTCGACTAGGAATACGGGAAGGATCCCAAACATCACAGTGAACGACGTAGTTTGTTTGTATGAAAACTTTGGAAACGAAGTACAATAATGTTTTGCAAGTTCACACACTTCACATTATATATCAAGAGACATTTTATTGGAACAAAGGTCAGGAAATAAATGTTGTAAATTTTGAAAATTAGGACGACCCATCCTGAATGCCATAATAGGAGCTCACTATTGTTAGAGGAAAAAAGGAATCACGGATAGCATTTTGACAATGGTTACTCACTTTAGCCTTCTCAAAGTAGTAGATTCTCTTACACTCCTTAGCACTGCCAATCATCATCTCCAATGACATTTCCTGAAAGACACGATGAGAGAAAAGGAATTTAGGAAAGCAGTTGGAGAGTTTAGTCAACTAACTTATAGACAACAAATTACAAGATAATTTTGAAACATAGAGGACTGGGTCTAAATTGATAGAATCAGAGATATGGACACTTCATTTGCCTGCAATAGGGAAAAGAGATCCATCTGCAATTTTTATTTTCATATTTCCAACACATGGTGAATATGTTGAAAATAGATGCTAAGAATCACTCAAATGGTCAGATGCTCCCGAGTCTATAATTCAGAGAGTATGAGTACGATAGGTAATTAATGCTTTCAAGTGACCTCTATAGGCTAAGAAATCAGAAGGAGTGTTTTTTATGACTGACACGATGATTGAAGGGCAACAATCATCCCCATGATTTTTTGTAATTGATAAGAATTTGAGGTGTTGTTGCTTGGACTAGATTGGGTATTTTTCTCCCCTTGCTGTTTCTCAATTCGACGTGTGAGTTTTCGAAGTCATCAATTCCTGACTAGACGAAGGTGTCCCCTATTATTAGCTCAGTTTAAGAAAAAATCGGCTCTAATACCATGAAATCAGAGTAATTTATTTCTGTATTTCTTGAACGAATAATTTGTACACACTATTCCAGCTTATTTATAATACAATAAAGAATATACAAAAGGAAAATAATCACCTAATTTTGGAAAAAAGAAAATCTGCCTCGATTTACCTAATTAAATATTCTAACTATGGAATGATTAATTAGGAATCAATGATGTTCTTCCTTATCAAATCACTTCCAGAATTTTATAACCTCATGTAATTTCAAATTAAGAGAATACTGACCTTTTTTTTTTGAACAAAAAAGAAGAGTTTCTTTGTAACTCAATTGGTTAAAACTTCTTGTATTTCTTTAATTGAAGGGAAAAATATTTTTTCTCCCTCAACTTGTTAGAGATTTATGAGCAGATAGAGGAATAAATTTTATTAATTTAATTGACTAGAACTAAATACTGATAACATGTGCTAAAATAGAAAGTAAAAAAGTTAATATATTTGTGTGCATTTTATTAAGAACCAAAGTCTCATATTTATATGAAAGAATTAGAGTTGCAAAAGATACAATGATAATAATAACTAGGGATGTATGTGTATAATTTTTATTTACTAATAAACATATTATTTACGACACAACACAACACAACACAACACAAATTCAAATACACACACACACACACACACACACAAAATAGCTACTTCACAATAGCGACTACGTTGCGAATCTAATACAATCTTGCCATTCGAATTTCCTTGCAACTTAAATCCTTGAATATCACAAAACATTCAGCACAAATTGAGAGATTTGATCATGATAAGTGTATTTTGTTCACTTATTCAAGCCAAATTACTAAAATTTTATGTCGTAAAAGTGTTAAATTCTACTTCGTTTAGGTTGATTTTCTTTTATATCGGTGCTTGACCCGTCTATGAGCATTTGGAATAGAAATGAATGAAAGAATGATGGTTTTTCAACTAGATTGAAAGTTTCGGGACCAAAATGCAAATATTCAAATGCGCTTTGAATCACCTTGATCCTATATCCGAAGAGAAAATTATAATAAAAATACTAAAGTTCGCATGAACTGGGCGACTGCCAAGTTCTACAAGATGGCGATCGCCCAGCCCTCAATTTCAACAGTATAACCCAATTTTTTTGGCTTGGGCGTTCATCCAGGTTTGGCCTGGGCAACTATCAAGGTCATTCCCAGCCCAAGTTTGTTTTTTTCATTTTCAATTCTACTCTGACAAGGACTCCTCATCGTAGACATTTTTTTTTTTGGAGACTTTTGAAAGGAGTATAAATACAACTTATCAACACTAAGTTAGGGGGATGATTATACAATTCCATTCATCTCATATTCATCATAAAAATTCAACTTTTTTGTGCAAAAATTAGAATCTTCATTGGAGAATTCATCCGAGTTAGAGATCAAGCGATAAGACGGAGTTATACTATTTGATTTTCACATTAAAGTAAGTTTTTACCTTTGAACAGTAATGATGAGATTTACTTTCTCTACAATATTCGATTACTAATTGTGACTTGTTTTATCTTCGAAAAATGAAAGATAAGTTAGACATAGTCATAATTGTCGTAAAATTCGATAGGGGATAGAAATATATCGTTATACTTTACATGATATTTAAGTATTTATAAATCTTTAATGCATTCTTGTAAGTTCGCATCCGTTATAAAAATATAGTCGAGAGTTTAATTCTACTCGGGAGAGATTGTTGAATAATTTAGAAATATTAATTTTCATAATTAAATTGTGTTGTCAAATTGTAAGATTAGGGTTAAAGGAAATTGATACAAGGAGATTCGAGATTCTCATGAGCTTTTCATCATTAAATTTTTGTAAAACTTGCATTCAGTATAATTTTAAATTGATTTTGATTAATTTAAATCGTACATTCATACATAATTTAAGGGGTTACAATTTAATTATGGAAAAATCATAACTTTCCATTAATGTTAGGTTAATTCAAACTAAAATTAGTAGAATCCCCTTAATGTTAGGTTAATTCAAACTAAAAATGGATTCGAAAAATCATAAATTTCCATTAATGTTAGGTTAATTCAAACTAAAATGGATTCGAAAATTCATTTTACTATTTGTTAACAAACCGTGCACTTGTCAAATCATAAAGTATATAATAATAATAATCAATGTAAATCAAGCATTTGAAAAGTCAAAACAATATTATATCAATAACACACAATATAAGTGAGAGAAAAACAAATAATACTATTTCCATTTGGGCCCAAAAGAAGAATTACAACTTCAACTAAAGAAGAGTTAGTCAAAAAAAAAAAAGAAAGAAAGAAAGAAAGAAAGAAAAAGAAAACTGCAAAAACTTGGCACTATAGCATCAAAACAATTCCACTACTACTTCACTTTATACCAGGGACCTTAAGCCTGTCTGTTCTTCTTCTTCGGACCAGATTTGGCAACTTTAAGGCTCCTGTGCACAACGCTCAATCTTGCAAGAGCTGCCTTCTTCAGATCCGGCCTATAATAGTTATCTGCCACCTGCACTCGGAAAAGGTGAATTCCCCATATGGAAAGGTTAAAAAGTGTACTTGTTTTCCACAATACATAAGAAAGAGAGAGCACTATTACTATAACTCAAAAAAATGCCAATATAACCAAATCAAATATACTGCAATTGAGTAAAAAAGAAGCTCATTAGAGGTGAAAGAGATACATAGTTTTTACAGTAACTTCAAACAAGAGGATTCTCAATGTGTTTTGTTGGTAGATTGTTTGGATGAAAGAATGTGGAAGGGTAAAGCGATTGATCTCCTCTTCAGGGAGTACCAGATAAAAATAGGTAAACAGATTGCTAAATGCAAGACTACTGCACAACAGAAGAAATTTTTTTCCCAGCGGTTAGTGCGGCAATTAATTTATTAGGCTGCAGATGAAAAGGTCAAACTGTGAAAATAAAGAGAAAGAAAAGAAAAGAAAATGCTGCAAAGACTAACACTGTTATAGAGAAATAGAGCTTTATAAATTAGAAGCAGTATTACAAATATATTGCACAGAACCTAGTAAAATTGTCCATAATAGAATCTCACATATGTTATTACGGGGTTTGTTTTGAGTCCCATTTTTATTGAGAATAGATTTTGTAATAATAATTTTTCGGAGAATGTGTGGTTAAAAAGTAGTGAAAAGTTTTATATTTACGTGCAAATATTATAATGGGAGAATGTGTGGTTGAAAATGAGTTTGGAAAAAAATGGGGATCAAATAGGGTCGACATCTCGAAACCACAATAAGACAAATGTTATTTCAACATATGGGATCATATCCTGTTTCTTTAATATCAATTACAAGGCCCACATGCATACCCTTTTAATCAAGGACTATTAACCTAGAAGTCGAACAGGATTAAATTGGGAAAAACCAGGTAACTCATTCAGGAAGTGATCAACTAGCCAAATATTTTGATTTACAAGTATTATTATAGAAGACACAAATTAACGCAGAAAGTGAGGCTTACAAATAAACTACACGAAGGACTAGATACCTGATTTGAAACAGCCTTTGCCATTCGGCTAAACTCTTTCTTCATAACAGACTTGTTAAGCACACTCGCAAGCTTGTTCCATTTCTTGGTCTTTGTCGTTGCTAGCAGCACTGAATGATCCTTGCCAGGTTGAATTGTCACTGTTTTTTTGTTTGCCAATCCTAAAGATAATTATTCACAAACAAATCAATTCTGGTGCCATTGAAGACAAATTTGTGACTTGCACCATAAAGAAAAAACCCGCATAAATGAAAATGCAGCTTATTATTCAAACAACAAGTGAATATTCAACCTAAAATATAATGAAGTTATCCAACCTAATTGGTATACAAGTTAACTTAAAGTGTAAAACAGCATGATTATTACAGAGTCTGTTCTTTCCAACATCAATCATTTTCATAGACAAGCAAATGAAACCTTAGCAAGATGATAACTAGCAAAACATAAATAAAAAAGCTACAACTCAACATTATCTGCGTAACTAAACAAAATTGAGATTGTAAATCATCTTTTTAAAGAAAAAAATGAAGTTTCATGCCAATTAGGCTCTTTGATGTTCCCAAGCTTTATATAAAACAATATCCCTCCCGTACATATTCTAGGCACCCACGAAATTATATCCCAAATAATCTTAGCAACCGCAATATTTCTCACAAAATAGTACCGAGCAGGTCTTAACAAACAGAGCCCAAACTATTCACGAAAGACTCATTTTTCCCATTTGGGAGACAACAAAACATCTTGACCAAAACAAGTATTTAAAAAATCCAATTTTGAAACTAACAAAAAAAAAATCGGCTTTGAAGCAAAGAACAAAAATTTACTGCTAAATAAAGTGATTCGTGTAAACTAACCGGAATGCTTGTAGGTGTGGAGATTGTAGAGATTGTTAGGCTCCTTGCTGAATACAACTCCAGCAGTTCCATTCCCAAACTCCTTTACCAAAAACGAATTGTTCTTCTTCACGATCTCCCATATCAGTTGCCCCGGAACAGTCGCCATTTTCACTGCGTATCAAAAATTGAAAACATCAGAATACATAAATCGCATAAGCATTCGTATGCATGTACACAAAGTTAAGCAGAGTAGAGATTGGCAGTTACCGAAAGCGTCTCTAGGGTTTTACTCCCGCGGCTTAAGGAAAGAGAGACGAAGCAAAGGCGAGATATGTACTGTGGTTATAAAACCCTAGGGAGGTACAAAAATTGAGATTTTATTAACGAAATAGTCCTTGAGTTGTTCCTAAATTACATTTTTGACCCCTGAACCTGAAATACATTTCATCCCATGTTTGTCTTAAATTCTTTTTGTATGCATTCATTTTCAACTATCCATTTATACAATAAAATATTTTATACGTAAACTCAAAATTTTTTCTAATTTTTAACCTCAGAAAACAATTTTTTAGATAAAAAACAAAACAAAAAAAGGCCACCTAATAGGGACTGAATTTACCGACCAAAATACCTCTATAATTTAAATCAATGTTGATGACTTCATTCTAACATTAACTTACGAGTAAACTTTTAGAGTTAAATTAGTCATGTTGATGACTAAAAATGATATGGTAAATTTAGATCAATTTAGAGAAAAATAGATAGAGTAACTGTGTTTGATTGCTGGAATATAGTAAAGAGCGAAATTTTTTCATGATTTTTGATAATGTATTACAGAGAAAATGTTTAGCTTGGCCATTTTCCTTGAGACTTTTACTTATATAGGATTTAGAACAGGAGTTTGTCGTTTTTAATCCTGTTAAACTACTCTGTTCATTCTCGAGATGTGTGTTGCCATCCTATTTGCCAAGTTTTCATTGGTTGGGCTGCAACACAATCCATCATGACACATAAATCGTATTCTGTGACATAGGTCGACATTATCTATAATGTAGACAATCATTGCTTTCTCTTGATTAGCGAGCATGACAATATTGACATCAATAATGACAATGTTTTGTCTCTAATTGTTTACAAAAGTCGTGTTGACATCATTGAGAACCATTACTTCACCTTACTCAACCTGGTAAGTCATGTGATCCAACCTTAAATGCTCGACTTTTCGTGTCGAATTAGTCCCTTTGATTACCTAATATCAATATGAGCCCACATTGGATCCAATGTGACCTATTGAGATCGGAAACCAACAAATTATTAGTAATTTTCTAATGCTTAACCAATCATCTTCTTAAAACATGATATTTGACAGCACAATAAAAATTAGATAATTTTTACTTTTTTTAACAAAAAGTAAAAGACATTGAAAGCATACTCCAAATTGGCACAACATAATTCATGTAGTTCTTATGGACAATAAAAATGTGAGAGCATTATTATACATAGGATTTCTATTTTATCTTCAATGGGCAGATTGTGCAAAATGAAAATGCTCAACTCCTTTGCCTAAACTAAACCAAAATTTCTATAAACCAAGATTACTAATTTCCAGCTAAGAAATGATGAAAAGTGAACTTGCACACTTGCATCCTCTCTTCCAAGGAGCTTTACCGGGGTTCTTGTTCTTGGGGTAGGAAAAACAACTCTCAGGCAACTCATCTAGCTCCAGAATCTGGCTTGGTCACCACTACCCATTTCGCCAAAGAACCGAGACCAACGCACCTACTGATGCGCTAATGTCCTTGGTGCCGTACTCAACAAAACCATCCATTTCACACACCACTGCCACATGGATTTTTTGACGAGAAAAAATTTCTACAAACTTCAATTAGTACTTCTGAGCACACTTAAAGAACCCCAAGAAAAGCTTCAACCATCAGTGGCAGACAAAGAGATTTTGTGTTAGGGGTTACAATCAAACTTTCAAAAAAGTTGTGAGGAATTTTACATCAAAAATTAAAAATAAAACAAATTGTACGCTATGTAATTTTACATCCGAATTTTACGTTCGAAAATGTACACAGGGTATGACTTTTTCGAATGTAAAATTTCAAAAATACTCCACGTAAAATTTCCTAACAAAATGATTTAAATTATATTGAGAAATTTGTATCGCAAAAATAGTCGATGCTAATGAAATAATTGAATTTTTTTAAAGAACGAATGAGTTAAGACGTCTCCTTTTAAGACACTCGTTTGACGCATATTTAACTATCTTCGATATATGTTTGGATCATTCGATATGTCTATGATATAATTCTCGAAATAATCGAGATGACATCGGCAATTTATGGATTTGGCTAACGTACAATCGTTGAAGAAATTTTAAAATTAACATGTTGTCGAAATGTTCAAAATACTGTTTCAAACGACATATTTTGACAAGCCGTAACATTTGTTGCGATTGGCTGTTTCGCGGCATTAACGAATAGAAAATTGGGACGTGAGTACTTCGAAGTAGTATTAAGAATACAATCTTCCGACTTCGTTTGGTGTCCCGTAATGACTTCTCAAAATTGAGGCAAAAACAAAGAAATTTAAAAAAAAAATGTCCAAAAATTGGAAAATCATGTGACTCCCAGGGCACCCCTTGTATTCGCCCCTATCAACCCTCCATATATACAAGTAGGAAAAAAATAAAATACTAAATGCAAAAAATAATTTATATGTACAGAAATTAGAAAAAAAAAACAAGGAAATTGAAAGCTAACAAAATTAAAAAAATCAGTTCAAAAAACACAAAAGAAAGGAGAGAAAGTTCAACACATAAAATGAAAAGCTAAGAAGACAATGGACAGCCTTACTGTAACCCCAGACTCGACGAAGTATTTCCTTTTAGAGCACCAACAATAATATCACATATTATTTTAATTGATTTTTCTAAAAAATAAATTTAATTCATTGAACATAACTTATTTACTAAATAATAACACTTAATAATTTTCATTGTCCATTTAATAATGTCGCAAAATTTTCAAATCAGGTATTTGCTAGTTGAAATTGAATTTAGCATAAAATTGTTCTTCTACCAATCAGATTTCTAGATTATAGATTTCGCTTAAACTTTATGTACACAAGTGAGGTTTATTCCATTTTGAGCATACATATTTTGGTCTATGTTGTTGAAGAATACATCNGTCGACAACACTTTTGCACATTGATAAGTGTGTTTTGCGCACTTAATTATGACACAAAATAAATTGATTGTTGTTATAAAATGCTCGAAAAGGACTTAATTCATTATATATTGTTTTTGTAAGACTACTTTGATGGAATGAACGAAATGTATGTGAAAAATGGTGAACATGACTAAAATGCAAGTCAACGAAAGTTCAGGGACTAAATTGCAATTATCCAAAAGTTGACCGAATTGATGAATTGAGCATGGAATTCTACTAAGGAGCTAATTTTTTATTACATGGATGACTAGAAGTAGAAGGAAGAGGAATCAAGGCTCAAAAGTGTAAGGAAAGAAGATTGAGGACCAAATTGAACAACCTAAAGAATCCTTTTTCCTTGCGATTGCAAGGAATACTGCCTTGCGATCGCCCAGACAGCAACAGGAAGCCCAAGAGAGCAAATCATTTGGTCCTTGCGATCGCAAGGGATCCTTCCTTGTGATCGCAAGGTAGGTTTTCTGCGCGAAATTTTAGTTTCCTTTTTCATTCAAACACTTATGGAATGTTATTTTGGCACTCTATAAAAACCAAAACTCGTCTAGAATTAGGGGGGATGCATTCTTAGAGAGAAAAAATCGATTTTTGAATAGCAAGGAGAAGAGCTTGAGCTAGGTTTCATCTCAAGATCCAAAATTCAAGTTTTAACTTCTACTTTTTGGTGATGTTTTCTTTCTATCATTTTTATTGTTGTTTTAATTTCATTATGCTAGGCTAGATTTTTTATGTACTAGGTGAACGATGAACCTCACATTGTGATCTTTTAATTTCTATTTTGTAATTTGATATTTAAACACGTTTGATGATTATTGAATGATTTATATACACTTTTTGTCTCCATGATTATAGTGCACGATAATTGTGTGGGTTTAGGTGGTTTATTTTATACATTCGAAAGAAAGGAAATAAACCCAACAAGGTATAAATCATCGTTTTGTTCATAGAGGATAGAAATATACCGATATGCATTACGTAAATCTCTAAGTGTTTACAAAATCACATGCATTCTTATATATTGTATTTGTCATAGAAATATAGTCAAATTGTATACTAGGATAGGTTCAATTCTACTCAAAAGAGATTGTTGGATAAATTAGAAACATTGATTCTTCAAATGATTCATCGTGTTGTCAAATTGTGAAATAGGGGTTAAGAGTGAACTTTGCTTAGTGATTCGGGATCCTAGTACGCTTTTTCATACATTAATTTCTTCAACTTTTGCATTCAACCATTACTTTTGCATTTTGTTCGCCATTTTAGTTTAATTTGCATGTTAGTCATAATTTTATCATAAAATCACAAAAACAATCATCTCGAATTTAATAGATTCAGTTAAGGTCGAGATAATAAGAAATTACGTTAAATCAATCCTCGTGGGAACGATACTCGAAAATTTACAATTTTCACTTTATTACTTGAACGATCCGTACACTTGCGGTAATCAAAGTCGAACACATTTTCGACGCGAACACTATCCATGAAAAAACCGAGTTCACATGTCATGTACAACCAATTAGTGAAACCAAAATCTTGGCCAGTACCACTGGTTATGGAACTTCCTACTTCAGTGATCTTGTTGTCAATGGCTTTTTTTCTATGTCGGAATTTTTAATTGTTATTTTTCTTTTTGTGACTTAAGATATGTTCTACATTGTAATTTTTGTTTTATATCCATGTGCTTCAAATTCTAATGTCGATCAATAATCGGCAGTCATGGAGCAGTGCACATAAGACATTGTTGGACGCTGAAATTGAATGTTTTCGCACTATAAGCTATGCAATGTGTTTTAATGCTACGTAGTGTCCATGATCTAATACTTATTTTTTTGCAATATTGTTGTAGGAGAACATCAACTACATGGATTACAAGGACAAAGACACCAGTGACATTTATCTTAGGAATCGTCTACTGTTCGGAGACACTTTAGACATCGAAAAATACGTCTTAACACCGAGGAAGCTGCGCAGAACAGAGTTTGACTTGTTTGAAGATAGAGGTATGGAGGACCTTTGAGACTCCATTCTTATACATGATAAGAATAGTGGCTCAAGTGACAAAGCACTGAATGGTAAAGGTAAATCGAGCATGGATGTTTGAGGCACTCGCAGTGGGGATAAACGTAAGTTTAAATCAGGTAAGCAAAAGGGGAAGAAAAAGAAATTGTCCAGTTGTGAATTGTCCTTCTCTGTTGATCGCGCCAACAATGCCTTCGAGGAAGTGTTGGTGAATGTCAAAAATATCATACAGCTGGCTCAGAATGACGCAAAGGCATGCATCGAAGAACTGTTGTCAACTGGCATGCTACAGCAAAAAATCAAGAAGTTTCATTACGCATGCATGCTTTGGCGCGTAAGAATATCAGGGACATTCTCGACATGATGATGGACGCAGAAGAAAAGATGGATAGAGTTTCAGTACACTTTCGATGAACATAAAAAGGAAGAGAAGAAGTTTGTTTCTTAGTACGTTGGTTCATTTCAATGTTATGTATTTATTTGATTTGTGACTCTATGCTCCATCCGGACATTGGTTTAAATAGTTTTTCGGTTCCCTTCACTAGTTTTTTTCTTTGTTCATTTTCTCCTTGCGGACACTGAATCAAAACATTATTCACATCATATGTTTAAATATTTTGCAATTAAACGCAAACCTAAGTTCATTATTGTAGCCATATTTGTTGCATGTTTTCCAATTGCAAATAGTGTTGGCGACCTACTTCGCAAAACTCTTTACAACAAAGTATGAAAGGCCTATAACAGTTGCCGCACTATTTGATACTGGTGCAGCATGTTCAATTCTTAATCCTGCCATTCTTC